CTTAATAATTAGAAAAGAAATACTCTATAAAATCAAGCATTCTAAAAATAATCCAAATAATTAAATATCAAGTATAAATATGAAGCTAGAAGAGTTAGAGATTCGCTCAATGTTTCTTTTGTTTTTGTTTTTATTATTTCAATAGATAATCTTACCTATTTGAAGTAGAATGGATCTTTTTGAATACAGTCTTGAAGGCTAGTTTCACTTGCTGGTTCCTCAAAGTATAAATGAACGGATTCAACATAGGCGCAACTGAAGTATTGAGCAGAGCTACTCCTTTGCTTAATGTAATTCTTTCGTTTGCTGATGGTTTTATGTACATAAATATGCAGCTACCATAAGTGATGGAGACAACAATCATATGAGAAGAACAGGTAGAAAAGGCTTTTTTCTTTTGCTGAACTGAAGGGAATTTTAGAATTGTTTTAATGATGTGGGAGTAAGAAATCAGTACTAGAAACAATGAGACAATCACTATCATTAGAGCTAATAAAAAAGCAATTAATTCTAGTAAATGTGTATCTGAGCAAGAAAGGTGCAGGACAGGAGAAACGTCACAAATGAAATGGTCAATGATATTTGCCTCACAGAAATCCAGGTTGAGACACAAAATCAATGGAGGGAAAATGAGCAGGAATGCAGTTATCCAAGAGCTGAGTACAAGCTGGCGACAAACTCTGTTGCTCATGATGGATGTATAGTGCAAGGGTTTGCAGATGGCAATATAGCGGTCATAGGACATAGCAGTCAGAAGGAAGAACTCTGTAACTCCCAAAAAAATATAGAAAAACAGTTGAGATATACAACCACTATAAGAAATTGCCTTTTGGCTGGTTGTGATGCTGATTAGAAATCTGGGTATGCAAACAGTAGTGAAGGAGATTTCTAGGAAAGAGAAATTACAAAGAAAAAAGTACATTGGTGTCTTGAGATGGGAATCCAGCAGAGTGAGAGCAATGATGGTTAAATTCCCTATCATACTCAGCATGTAATTGAGAAGTAGGAAGAAGAAGATGACAATTTGTAGCTGAGAATCATCTGTCAGTCCCAGTAAAATAAATTCTCTCTGCTTTGTATAGTTCTTCATTTATCTTCTACGAACTAAATTAAATTCTAGAAATAAAATGGTACAAAAATTAGAATTTATTTGACTAGATTTATATCCAATAAAAGGTATAGAAAAAAGATATATCCTCAGGAAATCTAATCATTTACCATAGAAAGTTGAAAAAATGTATCTAAAGCAATTTAAATGAAGTTGTTAGCTAAAGTTTAAATACACTATAAAAGTTAACTCAGTTTTTTAAATTCACCTCCATAACCTAAATAGTGGAGGGACAGAGCAGGAGAGCCAGATCTCGGATGAGATGAATTGATACTGTGGCAGTGGGAGTTGGTGTGTCATAATTAGTGAGAATGGCTCAGGGCAGGGCAGGGTTCAGAGCTGCTGTACATAGATAGGGTTGCTATGGATCACAGGTGACTTGATGACACATAATAACAACAACAACAACATAACCTGAGGTCATTTATTTCTTTTTTTCTCTTTGTCTTAAAAATTTCCATCAATTGTGTAGTTTTTGTTGTTAGGTGCCATCAAGTTGTATATGATTTGTAGTGACCTCATGAATAGCAGATCTGAACATTGTCCTATGCTATGCCATCTGACACATCTCTGACACTTGAATCCAATCCATTGGCAGTCACTATGCCAATCCATCTTGTTGATAATCTACTTCTATTTTGCTAACCCTCCACTTTTTCTAGCATGATGAATCTCTCTAAGGAAAAGCTTTTTTTCTCAACAGCTATCACAAAATTTGCTCAGAAAATTAATACATGAAAAAAGCTAAACTAAGGTTCAAAAGCAACTCATACATTTTAAGTTACCAGTTTGATAAACCTGACATAATAAACTTGCCAGTTTTATAAAGTGAGAATCACTATTAAATTATAAAATTTAGATTTCATATTAAAGTAATGCTTTTTAGAGCTACTTTGCAGCCTCGTTTAAGTTCAAAATAGTTTAGAAACACAGAAATTCCCAAACAAAATGTACAAAATAAACAGTGTTGAATCTAAAGGGAAATTTTTAAAAAACTGATTATTAAGCAGATAAAGCCACACTTAAAACAAACCTATAAAACGATAATCTATTAATAAATTAGATGGTTTTTCCATATGTGAACAAAGACAAAAAAATAAAAGAGAGAAAAGGCATTGCATCTCTTCAGAATCTCTGTCACTTATGGGTGCCCAAGATTCTGTAGCTCACCTCCAAATGCAACTTTTTAAGGATTAAAATAAATAATTTCTTTTCACATTGTCTAGATATTAATGTTCTTAACAATCATTTATACACTCAGTGATTATTAATCCAAATAAGGATTAATTGGTATAGGAAATGAGTGACAATTAGATGAGACAAATATATTCTGATCGTATATTTTATATTTGTAATTTAAGGCTTGTCTCTGGAAACTCTATGAACTTAGAGAAATCATGAAAATTATACAAGTGTTCAGATATTTCATTCATAAGTTTTCTATGAGTAGTCTACAACTCGATGGCACTTAACAACAACACTAGAACATGAGATTTCCAGTAATATAAAGAAAAAAATGTCTCAAGAGAGTAGAAGTAAAGCTAGGTTGGTAACTATTAGAAATAAAAAAGTGGGGCAAAAAGAATGGAAATAGTTAGTGTATCAGATGTTACAGTGGGCAGGTTATAGATTGTACTTTAGTGGGCAGATGGAGGTGAAGGAATAGGAAAGATCCAATGGAAACTTGGAAAGACAGGGTAATAACGGGCATAGTTCAACAGTAACTAATTATATAAAATGTATATGAATGAGTGTGTGAAACACAATACATATGAATGAAACACAATGAAAACAAATTATTGTATGAAAATCAATTAAAAATATATATGAGAAACTAAACATAAAGGTGCTAAGCAACCTAAAACCCAGCAAAGAATAATGAAAGAACATATAAGTTGATAATGAGACAGAGTAATCCACTCCTCAGGTCATAGTTTCTACAAGATTTGTATTATTTAAAAATTAATATCCTTAAACAATCATAATAGCTACAATGTTATAAGGTAAGTAAAATTGCTAAGAAACTAGAAATTTAAAATAAAGAGCAGAGATTGGTATTTGAAAATTTTTATTATCTCACTTATTGAATGGTATTGAAAAATACTTGTTAAGTTTTAGTTTTTCATCTATAAAAAGAAGGTAAATAACTTTTATCTCACTTACCAGGATTAAATGAGATATATACAGCAATTGTTGTTGTTGTCATTTGTTGTTATGTGCCATCGAGTCGTTTGCGACTCATAGCGACCCTATGCACAACAGCCCTAAACCCTGCTCTTTCCGGAGCCAACCGCACCGCCTCTGACACACCCATCCCGATTACCCCAGTCACCGAATCAATCCATCTCATAGAGGGTCTTCCCCTCCTGCGCTGTCCCTCCAC